CTCTTCTCTCTCTCTCTCTCTCTCTCTCTCTCTCTCTCTCTCTCTCTCCTTCTTTCTCTGCTATTTATTTTTCTAGATGCGTATAGACGAAAGAGGGAAAGCTGAAAACAGAAAAAGCTGCGCAATCATTGGTGCAGATGAGATAAAAGATGTGTGAAAAAAATATTTTGGTAAAGAATTGAACGTTTGTAAATCGTAAAATTTGTGTGAAACATTTTTCATGTTCATAACTTTAGTGTATAATGCAATTTTATTATTAATACTGATTCATCCTAGCACCATAAGAGTGCAAAAAGTCAATATTCTACACCTGAAATGCTCATTGATTCTATCAAAGATACAAACAAGCAGACACGTAACACATCGTGCAAACAGCCGCGATTTCTTATCGCGTTACAACGAAAAATGATAGCGTACGAGTTTGTATCTCATTTTTCGCACGACGTAACTTCATTACGTGCACGCGGTGGGTCTCGCAATTAAAGTAACTCGAAACTAATTGCGAGCGCGGCGAAAGAAATCGTCGAACGAGCCGTACATGCGCGCCGCTTATCGGCGTGACTGCGCGCGCTTAGTTACGAGTACGAGTTTCTGCACCGAGGCAATTTTACGTGGCGTACGCGGTGCAACAAATGCATACATCTGATATCACACAGTCGCGATTTCACGAGGCCCACGGCCCTCCCGCGTTGCGCAATCGCAAATGGAAATTCGTGACGAGCTCCTCAGGCGCGCGGCACGAGTCGCAATTATCGGTGAGAAACACGAAGTGGATAATTGGAACGCTTGCTAATTAGAATACTCCCGCTATACGACCACCTGTGCAATAATGGGGCTTTGATACAAAACCGTGTGCTCGAGAAACGACAATGATTCGCGACGCGACGAATTCTATGCCGGACGTGATCTTAGTCAGCGATAATTTAGTCTTCCTCAACAATACATCGAGTGTCGTATTATGAAAAAGAAATCTTATAACTTGCTAATCATCGCATATTAAACATTTTTTCACACCTGTGTAATTTGTAAAAGCTAAGAATTCTTTACAAATTCTCGAGTTCTATCATTGTCGAAATTGATTAATTAAAAAACCTTAAGAAAATATTTAAAAAAAAGTAATGTTTTTAAAGCTATTAACCATATTGTTAATTGTAAACATATGCCTGATGCGTAATTTCAGATGCTAACTGTGTAATGCACAGTGAATGTTTGCCGTCGGCAAGATAAGCTGGAAGCAGCGTATCTTATTTATATAAATCTCAAGTAAGTTCCTAGACTGTTAAACTTACTTTAAGCCAGTTCATACAATTCCGATTAAACTTATTCAAATCCATCTCAATAATGCTATATAAATTACAAAATTAAATACTACAAACAAACAAATCATCATCGTCACCAACGTTCGGTATTTACAAACGCTTGAAATTTGTTCGATTCATAACTACACGTTTTTAATTTAAAACTAATCGCCAGAAAATAAACTCCGTGGAGCGAAGGGCGAGGAGAAAATCGCGAGTTGAATTTCGAAGCTGCTGGCAACTTGTCCATCCGGTCTGCAGAGGGCTCCAGCTCTCATCTGGCGGTTGTAGGGCACCAAAAAAATCTCACGGAGGCTGGCTCGCACGGCAGACGAGCGAGAAAGGACGGAGGAGTGCGACCGGAGCGAGCGAGATAGGCCTACCGAGAGGTAAACGAGGGGAAGGGGCACTTGAGAGAGAAGAGGAATCGGGCTGGTTGCAGAGGTGTGGCTATGAGAGCGTACCAGAGTGGTTCTTCTGGTTTCTGGTTGGCTCCAGGCCGACGGGAGGCCTAACCGACACTGGAAACCGGGCTCGGTCGTCGGGGACCTTCTTGCAGGACTTTTTGCCGTGGCGCGTCTCATGGCCAGTCGTAGGTGTCAGAATGCGCCTCGCTCGCCTCGGCCGAGAAACGTTCGAAGGGTTGGCAGATGGGAAGAAGGAAAGGGGAGGGTGGAGGGCGGGGGACACGCGAGGGTTAAGGGACCGGGGAAAGAGAGTTACCGTGGAATTACTCGGCTATTGAGATCGGCAGATAGTCCCGAAGAAATCATAGCGGCCACCCACGTTTCCGATTATGGTTACCGTGCGCGCCTCTCGTGCGCTCGCATCGATTCACAAAGTACACAAACGCGGTCGGAATCATCGTGCTAGAGGCCGCGAAAGCACGGAAAGCACGGATTAATTGCCGAGCAGGAATGGATTTCCGACGCAGCCGAAGGCGTTTTTCTCTATCGACGACTGCCTACCGCGAAGTCGTCTTTGATTGGCAATCGACGACTGGCTTTGACGCAAAGCAGAGTATTAGCGATTTTTACAATGAATTCCAACTGCAGGAAATCTCGATAAAGTGTAACGTGATTGAAAAGAAAAAATACTTTTGATAGCTTAGTGACTTTGATTCTTTCAGCAAATATAGTAATTTATTACAAATTTATATGTAATCGTACGTGAGCAAAAAAAAACATTTTTACACCGTGTTTAAAATAAATCATTCATATATAGGAGAAAATAATTTTGTTACAAATTTATTTTAATATTTCACTTAATATTTAAAGACCGTGAAAAAATATATAAATATATAGATAATATTTCACGTGTCGTATAATATGATTTAAATCGCAATTATCAATACAGCATATTTTACATATCCGCAGCAGCTTCATTAAATTCGCGGAAGTAACGAGATGTTATAGTGTAATAATTGACGCGAATAAATGTAAAATCCTCGTTAAAATGATATTAATTTTATCACTTCGTCGCTTAATTGTATTACAACTTAGTGTTAATAAGTATTAAATAGTGAATTATATATTTCGCAACGGTTTCTCACTTGTGTGTGTGTGTGTGCGATACGGACGATATTTACTTCGCAGAACCTCCAATTATGGTATCGCCGATCTGAAAGTAAGCCGTGTCGACGACTCATTTATGCCCCTTATATGTTACGAAAGGCTGCAAGTGTTAACTGCGACGTCAATTATCTCTGAAATGCCCCACATTCACTCTAAATACTTACGTCCGACTTGACGCGAGACGCGTCGGAATTTATTAAATGTCGACACCGCACGCGGATACACTTAGCAGATATACAGGGGAGGGATTCTCCGCGCGCGGACTGACAGCTCGCCCACCGAGATGACGACCTAACCATAAGCGAGATTATAGTGATCCGGCGGAAATTCACGGTTCAACCGTGACCCTCGCGAAAAGCAATCGTTCACGACGGATTATTATTTCCACGCAAATCTTCTACACGAAATGCGCTAAAATTCCCTCACTCATCTCCTATAATTCTCTTAATTTTCAACGTAAACGAAGTTCGTAATTAGATCATCTATCAAGTTTTCGTTGAGAAAAAATCGACTACAAATTTGCCAGATAGATATGTCGAACTACGTCGACCACTAATGTACTTGATATTATACATTTCCCGAGATGCACGATGATAATTGTACGTAGCAGAATGTAGCGCAGAAATAAGAATGCGGAATAGAACACGGAAGAGTAAGAAAATTACAGCTTTCCTCGGGACTGGTCGCATCGCCGAGATTGATTTGATCGAGAAAGGGTTAACGCGCTCGTGGCGCATTTACCGCCGCGATCGAAGCGGGCTTTAACTTCGCGGGCTCTAACTTCGCGAGCTTTAACTTCGTGGTATCTATCGTTTGACCATCGACGAATTGAATCGATCCACTGCATGAACGCGGAAGCGCGAGCTGAAAGGCCCTTCGTTCCCGCCGCGCTTCGCAGGATGGAACATTATTTATTACCTCTGTCGGGTGGCGTACGTCCAACTCACTCCGCAAATATCACCGTCTCTAACTTTTTCTTCGCCCCCGACCACTCCATGATCTCCCTCTCCGCTTTGAGATTTTCCGTGTGCGCCGTGTACACCCATAAAGCATACATCACACGGCACGCGATCAGTCTCAGTTAGTAAAGATTTTAATTTCTGTAATCCAAATTTCTCTTGTAATATGCAAATCTTAAAGTTTAAAATATTAAATAAATTATATTATACGAAATGTTTATAACATATTTACAAGATTATAAAATTTTCGAAACAATAAAACATCTTTAAATACATTAATTTAATTTCTTATAAAAAAAGAATGGGACAGCAAAAATAAGAAAAATATGGAAAACGATAAAATAAATGAAACTTAATGAAAAAGAAAAGTAAAGTAAACTCTTTTTCTCGATCAATAACTATTACTGTACACACATGTGCGTGCACGCAAATGGCAAAATTACCCGTTGAATTATTGCGTCATTTCTGCCCATTCTGCTTACATTATATTGATGTGTAATAATAACTCTGAAGTTCAATCAGTATAATTCCAAGTACAATTTGTTCAACAAAAGTGCCGTAAAAGAAAGTCTTCTTAAGATTTTAGATTTTTTGTAACACGTTTCAAAAAGTGGATTCGACAGATTCTCCAAAAATTTCTATTTCTTCAATACACCTCGTGAGGGAAAAAGGAGAAACTAACGCAAAGTCGTAACAGACATTCGATATGTTCACTAATACAGATTTCGCCGTGTCTCTCGGTGTTGCGATAGTGCGTTGGATAAAATGGGAAACTCAGTACCGCGTCATTTCGCTCGTTGTATTATATGAATAAAATTACAGCAGGATCCCGTCGAAGTTGTAAATCTGCAGCGTGCATGAGACGAAATAGTTTCTCGTTGCGAGCGCACGAAAACCGATAAGCACCAATAATAGTGCACCGTTGACCTGGCGTATGTCAGCTGCGCGAAGCGCGCGTTTTGGATATTAACATCTCGGCGAACGTGAGTTAAAGTTATTGCCCGGAGCACCTGGAGCGGACGGTTCTCTCCCGATGAGCGGGCGATACTCGATGGAGTGGCCAATTTACGTAGTGCTTTAACACCGAATTCGGACGCACGGCGCGTCAGACTTCGTATTTCAAAACAACGAGGGCAATAAGCGTAAATTACTAGTCGATACGTTAATCGAATACATGCGAAGCCGTACTACAGTTCGCCTTCGGAGCAAAAGCGCCATAGCTCGTATATGAAGAACTCTCATTTTAGCGATGTTCCCGAAATGCTGTCTTGTACGAAAATGCGTATTGTTCGTATAAATTCATATTTATTGTCATCAATTTACGATAGCATTTTAAAATTAAAATAACTGGATCTAATTGTTTATTTCTTTTCAGGATCTTTAGTTATGATATAGTGTTTTTACAGTTGTATCTCCGCAATATTAAAACTTACGAGATATGAAATAATCGATACTGTCGGTTCGACGTCTGACCGGCTCGGTACCGGAAACCGAGCGTGGCCACATGAACAACCGAGTCGGCCATTAGCTTCGCGCCGCTCTACCTCGTGCGTGCGTCTACATGCGTTTACCTACATTGCACCGCGTCATCTTATTGCCGGCGGTGTGTAACGAATAAGCCGTCGCAATGCGAGGAAGCCCGAGAAAAAGAGAGGAATTACGCGGACGCGGGGAGAGCAGGGGAAAGGGAAAAGCATACGACGAACGTATTATAGTGTCACGTTGTCACAATGCCGGTAGCCGCGACGTGAACCAGCCTGCGCGATCGGAAGAGACAGGACTGTAAATCGCGGTGGCAGCCAGTAAGTAAGCCCGTGCATGTTGCAAAGGTAAAATTTTTATACCACGTCATTTTCACGCTACGAAGTAAAATGCACCGAGAAAATCTGTACGCTAGATTTCTAGTAGATCATCGATCGCGATAGCGAAATAATTAAAGATCACAAATTGTAATTGCAAAGTTTGCTTTCAAACACTCTTAGATCTATATGTTCAAAAAAAGAAGATTATATATTACAATATTATAAAAAATGCTCGTAAAATAATTTTATAAACACATAAGATCAGTAAAATATGAATAAGATAGTTTGAAAAGAAGTTTTCAGTTGTAGCACGAGGGACAAAATCAAATTACGAAAATTGAGTTAAGCAGAACTATAGCGATCGACCCTTGGTTTCCGGTGTCGTGTCCGTCATTAAGAGGAAGTGGTCGAAGTTGCAGACACTCCTGACAGAGTGGAGAGTATTCGTTATAGTTATAATAGGCCGGCTGCATAATCGCGCGCGCGATCGTGACGGCACGTCAGTAACCGAACGAAACGAGAGAAGGGACGAGCGAAGGGCGATTCGGGGTGCGAGTCGCCAGGATGTTCGCCGATGGATAGTCGCACGGTTTGTTGGCGGCGGCGGTCGCTCGCATCGCACCGCGCGCGCGACGCGTTACATCGCATCGTTGCGGCGGTCGGCCGGTCGTTCGTTCGTTCGTTCGCTCGGTCACGCGAGCTCGTCTCTCTTTCTCTCTTTCTCTCTCTCCCTGTCTCGCGGGTCTCGCGCGGCTGCCCCCAAATTGCCCGAAATTATTGGCTTCTTTTGTTTTCCCGTCATACGCCGCATGGCTCGCTCGCTCGCTCTCCGCCGTTCCATGTCATTTCTACCTGTCCCCGTGACGCTACGCTCCCACATACACTCGTTTGTCGCTTTTCCTTCTTCTTTTCGCCTCCCCCCTCCCCCCACCCCTGATAACGCCGCCCCCACGATGGGCTGCTTCCTAGCGGTTTTCCTTCAAGGAGGATGTTCGCCGAGTTCAATATCCTCCGTCACACGCTGCGCCTGTTTTCCTGCTTATATAGTTAGCCACCGTTTTCGTCGCCGAATACTATCATTAACCCTGATATCGGACAATATGGAGAGAATGACGAGTGCACGACGGCCGTATCCGGTGCGATAGAACTCATGAGCGCTCATGGATTGAATATCACGAGACGAGGAGAATTATATAAATGGGTATACAATTTTTCTCTCTTCTCCTTATAACATAAACGAGTGTGATATTCTTAAAATGTCTAATACTAATTAAGAACTCCGAAAGTTCGCTTTAAGAGAAAAGAAGTGACGTAAAAGCATCTATCCGACTCCTTCAGAAATGTCGGTCGACAATATTTTGTCGGACAAAATTATTTCCCTGTAACTTTTTGGCAATAGCGGTTGATCACTTAAAAACTCTTACGTGCTTTCGGATATTTCTGCATCCGATAGCTAAAATGATTTAACGAATCGGGGAATCGATCGAGAGCTCGCGGCAAACACACGACAGTTTGTTCGTAAAATAAAAGAAACTGCGGAGGCGCAGGTAGGAGTTTCTTGGCCCGAGGCACTCATTATTGCGTCCATTGTCGTCGTTAACGTACGGTATTGTGCCGCAAATGGCCTGTGAATATTACGTTCTTTCCGGAGCCGCCGCGTCGGAGCTTTCTTCGTACTTCGATCTCAGGCAGGTTTATGAGAGGGTAAGTAACGATCGAGTCGCGGAATTCCGGAGTATTGGAAGTTTTCGGGATTTACGCGCTTCCGACTTCCGGGTATACGCGACGCGCCGAATTTACGGTGGCTTTTCAGCGCCCGTCGAATTCTAAAGATGCCTATGCCGCGCCGCGGCAAAATAACAGTGCCGTATTCTCCGCGCCATGCTCGTCGGCATTTGAGAATATTCACGCGGCATCCGCTCGTGCTCGATAATGCGATATTACGACGGTGAAATAATGGAAAAATCTGTTTAAAAAAACTATAAAAGAAAATCAACCGAGCAATTAAAAAAAAATTTTTTTAAAAGAGTTTTATAATAATTTTATAATGTTAGATAAAATTTTTATAATAATATTACTGCACAAATAACTTAATTAGTTATTAAATGTTTTTCGTCGAGATGGAGCACACCTTTCCAAGGATATATCGAACTCGTTTTTCCGTGTACTGTCGTCGGCAGACAATTGGGATTAACAGTTGATTTAAGAGCGCTTACGAGGAAAGAAAGGGCTCATTTTCGTCGCAGGACAATAGGACAATCTCCCCGTTGTACGGACAAACGCTGAGGAATCAGACAAATTTACGATCAACCCTTCTGAGGTGCCCAGAACGCTCGAGATCTTCGGAGGCGGAAAAAAAATCGATGAGGAGACGACGTCAATCGCAGAGGATCGTATCTCTCGCTCCTCTTTTAACGCGCGTCCTTTTTTTGCGGGCTCGCGTTTTTCCGGACGCATCGACGTGCATAAGCTCCGTCTGCAGTCGCCGGGTAAGGTGATCGTCGTCCCGCCGCGTATCGCGATTCGATATCTCGATCCAGGGCAATTAATAACGTTAATCCCGCGGAGAAGAGACGGCTGGACAACCGCGGGGAGGAAGAGGCGAGAGGTCGATACCGTGCGAACAGAGCGAGTCGCGCGAGCGAGCGAGCGAGCAAGCGCGAATGAAGGAGTGAGATAACGAGGAAAAGGGACGAGGAAAAAAGGAGCAGGACGAAGAGGCGGCAAAACGTTCGACCGAACGAAGATTGACTCGGTGCGTGTGGGCCGCTCTCCCGGCATCAATTAGACGGCATCTAAAGTGTGTACACGTGCGCTCGCAAGCACGCACGCACATACGTACACAAGGAAACGAGCGCGGATCGTCCATTGTACTCAGTATTCGCCAAGATGGCCGCTCGTCGCGACCGCGAAGCGGCACAGAAAACCGACAAAAAGCGCCCGATCAAGCCCGCTAAGTGTCTCCGGATCGCGACAATTAATGGCTACCGGGCGAAAATTGTTTTATGTTTTCATCTCAGCAAGTCCAGGCAATCTTTTGTCTTTCGCGATATCATCACCGCCGCCATGGAAGTCGTCGACGCGTTTGCCGCTGCAACCTGCCGTCGGCTACGGATTCGGGTCCGAATCGAGTATGAATATCGATACGATTTTTCGGAGAAATTTACGAATTTTTCATACAAACATAATCTTTTCCCGTTTTAGATGTAAATCACATTCAATCTAAATAGCTATTTATTTTAGATACTAATATTAAAAGTTTCTATTATTGTTATATATACATATTAATATTTAAACTTAAAAAAAATGCAATCAATTATATATTATTATTATCAGACTCTAAATTTTTTCTAAAAAATGTTAATACAGCCCGATTTTCTCAGGCTCTTCTAATTTAAATAGGATGACAATAAAAACAAAAGACGTTTACAAATCCTTGAATCGCGGACTAACATTTCCGAATAAATTTAAAGCCTTTCATTTACTTACTAAGTACGTAGCGCACTAACGATTGCATGTGCTACACAAAATAGAATAATGCAGGGCAGTAGCGCCCTGGAAGAATATAAATGGAAAAATTAGTCAAACTTACCCTCTGTTTAATATATTCCCAGTATGTAGCACCGGCACGGATTAATTAACAGCGTTTGTCTGGCGCTGAAATTGATAAATTTCACCTCGAATTAGACTCTCGTAAAGGAAAAAGTAGAAAGAATAATACTACGAAATATTTGGCGCAAACAAAATTTTGCAGGGAGCTTTTTTTATAACTTTCCCTAGGGGAACATCCTGTAAATGTACGCACATGTAATTCTGCGTCAAAACAAATGAAGTAAACAAAGTGGGCGATATAATCCGCAGCTCCACCCTTTTAATACATACATTTTCATCTAAACTGCACAGCAGCTGTGCCGGATAAGTATATGTCTCACTTTTTCGTTTCTTCGAGTTTATAACTCATGAATAAAATATAAAAAGTTATTTTTTACCTGATACTCTTGATTATATAAAAATTATCATTAAACTCAAAATTTTTTAATTATTTACAAAGTGGTAAGTGTCACTAATGTAAGGCATTTTAATCACTAATAAAAAAACGATATTGCAATCGCATTATACCGCGTTTCTCTCCTCAGTTTTCTTATTACAGACGCTGTTTCCACGAAAATTTCTTTTGCAAGTCTAGCGGCGCCATTTCAAAGGCGCGACGATCGCGATTTAATCCGCCGCAGAGATCTAGCACTCCTTAGACGCGCGCGAGCGACGCGGTTCCCGGGCCTCGATCGGTTCGTTCCTTTTGGATTTCGGGGTATTAAGGGGGACAGAGACGCGAGTCTTTCTCTCATGGCCGAAAATAATACCGGGAACGGGCCCTTTGACGGTGACGGTTTCTGCATAGCGCCGGCGCCTATGTTTTTGCTATGTGTCCCGTTTCCTGCACGTTTTCGTTCTCCTCCCCCCTTTGTCGCCGCTTATCCCTCCTGCAGACTAGATATATCCTGCGCGGCATGTGAACATTGGCATATGAACGAACTTATGTGCAAGTGTCACGAGATGAACTCTTTCGCGTGTCATACACGGATCATTTTACTTTCGTCGAATGGAGATACGTCGAATGGTTTCTAAAAGTAGTTGTACGTTTTAAAGAAAGAATTGCTATTGTAGAATTGCTATTTAGTTTCCCAGATACCAAAATTTTTTTCGTATTTTCTTAATTGAAAGAAAATTTGCGAGCAACATATTATGTCATTACAGACTCATTTGTCGAAGAACTTTCAATTGCGTTTTGTGCAAACTTTTCTCTCGTCTTCCCGTGAGAAACGCGTCGCACTTGTGTGGCAAATCGTTGCGACCCTATATATCGACTCTTTGGCGAGGGTGTAAAAGAAGAAGAAAACCCTGATGTGTCCCTGCTAACCTGAGAATGAACAGACTGCGAGCCTGTCCGTCTATTGTGTCTCATCGAACCTAACGCGTCACAAAGCACCAACCATGTTTTCGGAATTACCTGGATAATATAATTATGGTTTGGCAGTTCTGCAGCATTGCACGTGAATGGTGGAAACCCAAACGAGAGGCCCGACACGGGAGCCTAAACTTCAGGAAGGTGTCCATCGGAAGACGTTAGGCGGTTATTGTAATTACGGTTCGTGAGACGAGGAGCGAAGTCTCGTCCTTTGCGAAGAAAATGCGTAAAATTACAGGGTAGCGCGGCTCTTTCTTTGCGTACTACAATTTGGAAAATCGGTTGGAAACGAACTAGGTTTCAGCTGACCCTCGCCACAGGAAGTGGACGTGGCAAGCTGTTGCGCAAATCTTCAATTTTTGTATCAAGGTAATATGTTACGCCTTGTACAGAAATTATATATTGCTTTTTTTTTTAATCAAACTTTCTTAGCTGGATTTTAAAGAAAAACAAGAAAATTTATATAGCAAATAATACCTAATATCATAAAAACGTCAAAAATTCCAACTATCAGGTGTTTTGAGGAAATTTCGAACCAACCGACAGAAATAGATAGCGCGACGACAGAACTTTTCATTAGCATTTTTTTACGTGTTTCCCTCTTCCTGTTGAAACCAGGGCGAAATTAATAGTATCGGGTCACGGGGACGCGAGCAGAACACGCGGGAGACTCCTATGCTCTCCATGGGTCCTTAACGAGAAAATAAATGCCCGCTAATTTTTCACGAACGACAGCGGCACGCCCCCGCGCGAGACCACGAGGTAGATGAATTTTTAATTTCACGGCTCGAAGTTTTTCACCGGCAGGAAAAACCCGAAAAAGCGGGACGGCCGGCCGTCGTCGTCACGGGGCAAGATTACACGGCTTGCACTCCGACGCGAGATATTAATTCTTTCTTTCCACCCTTGTGTTTTTCAGGCATCCCGCGCCGTTCGTTACGCACGCTTAATACCTCGGAAAGAAATACTGCACAAGATACTTGCCAGCAATAAGTTATTAATTAATAAAATCTCATTTAGAGATCTTTAATAAGATTGCAAGAATCGCAATTTTTGCCAAAACCACTTTCAAGGTGCGTGAATTTGCGATAAGATAATATAAAAGTTTGCGCGTTCAAGTGATTCTACCGGAAATTTGACCGAATTGTAACAACTCTACCACCATATGCAACGTCAAAAATCATGTTTCCGGAAAAAATACCGCAGTATCCTTCCGGCTTGTCGACTGGCATTCATTCTTACTGGCCGAGCATTAACCGCGCGATCAATGACTCAAGATCGAAAAGCGAGAAACGGATCTGGTACCGATGTAGTAGACGCCAAATTACACGAACATTTGAAGCGTGCACGATTTAAAGACAAAAAAAACCGAATTCACCGGAAGCAATGGTGGTTTAATGCTCGATGCACGCGTCGCATGTTAGTTCTTAGTTTCCTTCACAAAGAATACGTAATTTATAATTTTGAATAAAGTCACACAATCGTCCGCAACTTTTAATTAAAAGTAATAAAAGTAATCTTCATTATATAGCATCAAAATATTAAACGTGTAATTTTCGTGAATATTTTTGTGATACGTACAATTTACGTTTTTGACGAAAGCAGGTCAGATGTGTTGTGAGAAGCAGCTTAAGGTGACGGGCCCGCAGTTAGGGCCCGTACCTCACCTCCGAAAACCTCGAAATTTCGTGGCGCGCGTCCACGGACGGCACGGCGCCCGCAAAACCGCAGAAACGACATACTGGCCTTTTGTCGTGCCGCGGCTGTCTGCGCAACGAAACTAGAACCATTATTATTACGTCACGCGAGCGTGTTGCGCTGCGGTGCCGTTTTTATTGACGAGGAAGTCGCAGATGGCGAGGCATTGTGCGCACCTTTCAGATATCCGCCGGAGGCGATCGTTTCCGATAATTTTTCGCGCCAAAATCATCGCCTTCCGGATTCGAAATCCGCCAAATGACTCACTCGAAAGAAAGTGTTCAATCCGGAAGAAGTGTTTGTAGCTGTTCGCCAAAAATACTTCAAATGTTTTTTTTTTTATTATTATTTCGAGTGCTAAAAAAGAGGTATATGAATGTAACCTAATACAAAGAGCCGACAGCGCTTCCGGGGCAGTCGTCTCTTTGTATTAAGTTACATTCATATACTGTGTAAAACGATGAAGACGTCTAGCCGGTGCCACCGACACTCTTATATCGATCATCCTCGCATCTCGTGAAAAGGAACTCTCTCGACCCGTGGAAATCGCTTCAGCGAAAATTTTCGACTCCTAGACAGTTTCCTCATCGCAGAATCACGCTCTTTTTCACTGGCCATCGATCACTGACAATTTCTTTCGGATTTCTTCCTGAAATTCTTGGCCTTCCTCCTCCCCTTTCTCTCCCCCTTGGGAACGAAGAAAACGGCTACGATGGAAAAAAGCTACTGCCCTGGCTGGCGAGATACGAGAGAGAAAATCGGAGATCGAGAGAGAGAGAGAAAGAGAGAAAGAAAAAGACAGATAAAGAAGAAGATAGCCCTGACCATGCCAAAGCACACAAGCTCCAGCGAGCCGTGAAACTCTCGTAAATTGTCGATTCATTAGCGGGGCCGGAAAAAAAGCTCCTCTCTGCGCGCTGCCTTTTTCGTGGCTCCACCCCCTTGGAATATCGAATTAAGCGAGCCGTGGCCAGGTTATACCTCGCTCATTATATAAACATATATACGTGTGCATCGTCTACATGTGTACGCGGTCATTTAGCGACTCTACGCGACGAAAAATCTTCTCGACGATTATAATGTCGTTTGTGGACGTCGGCGACGCCAGGCGAGGCGAGGCGACGCGACGTGCCGTCACGCCCCTTCCTCCGGTTTTCCGCATGTGAACAACTCGTGAAATAACCGCTGCCGCTATTCCATTATGCGACAGGATGGAGATGCCAGCGGCGCTGCCAGGAAGTCCCGCGGACACGGGCGAAATCGTTTCGCGGATTCGCGATTTGCGGAAACGTCGCCTCCGCGCGCCGCAACGCATCCGCGCCGAGGTGTTTGCACTCATCGCACAGAAACTCATTTCGATATCCCGTCTGAGAAAATACGTACAAAAACACGTACAATATAGCACCGCGCCTCAATATTATCTTCAATAAAGTTCGACGCGACTAATTTCATCAATGTTCATATGGGAAGAAAAAGAAAGGAAAAAAGGAGGACACCATCAACGAGGGCCTAATGATTTTCAGCTCAATAACGCGAGGCGTATCGGATGCCCTCGATTAAACGTAATTCTCGGACTAATTTAATTCTCGACCGCGAGCAAAAAGGAGGTGAGGGGAGAGGGGGCGGCAGGAAAGCCGGCGGAAAAAAGAAATGGGAGACGTTCGTTAAGAATCGCACAGACCAGAATTTCACGGTCGGTATCTGCCGATGTCTCGGCGGCCGACAACCAGCAGCGGGAGGGGAGGGGGTTCGTAAGCACCGGCTCTCTCGAACGGCCACGCATAGTTATTTTCACGACATCCGCGCGGCAAAAGAAGCGACTATTCGCCATGGTCCGGTGCGCGGCGATGACAGTGGTTCGGGTGAAATTGGTCACTATGTTGCCGCGACGAAGGCCGCTGCGGATCGACCGCAGTTACGGTTAAGCAGCGCCCGTGCGTAATTTCTATGGTTATCTGTTATTCGAGTCCGTCCGTCGTGAAATCGTTGCCGT